CATGCAAAGCAGTATAAAAACCTGAGGACTCACTGGCACTTCAGAGAACACTGAGTGCTTGCTATCAATTGTCGATAGAAAATGGCGTCGAACTCAATGCGTCACAATGTACGGTCGCGTCCCTTCGTCAAAAAACTCGGTTTCCGTACTTCCTGGGATATCAACATCTCATTCTCGAATGACAAGAATTTCGGTGTCATTGTTCAAGACGACCTAAGTTGTTCTTCAAACTGCACCAGGGCGCTGTCCACCGCTATAAGATGTGTTGCTAGAGTGAGTTTGACTAATTCTAACCTATGCTGTTCTCACGTTTTTTATCACCCTACACTCTACCCCGCATAGAGTACGCCATTCAACAGATTCTGGAACGTTCACAAAGAATGGTCATTAAAATCCTCAAGGGACTGCATTCCAAGACTTGTATGGAAAGACTGAAATCATTGGGGTTGTACTCCACACAGTATCACCGAATTCAAGGGAACTTGATGTTGGTGTATCAAATGATGCAGAACCTGATCACCCATGTCATTCGTTGTTCACCTTGTCGCCCAGCACTCACCTCAGGGGGCACTAATTTAAATTATTGTCCCAAAACTGTCAACTAGAATGTCAGTGTTATTCATTTGCCACCGGAGTGTACAGTATTTAGACTTATATATCACCTCACCTTGCCTCTGCGCCCACAACTGATTCTTTTAAGCACAAATTGCATGAAACATTGTCTAGCCCTAAATTTTAACATCCGTAGCAGTACACGAAGACAAGGAAATTTGTGGCATTCCTTATCTTTCTGTCAATCGTAAATCGATCTATGGTACAAGAAAAGCAACCGCTTTAAGTATTTCCCATAAAATTTTGACTTTGTTTTCAGGTCGACATACAGAGTACGCGATCCAACTATGCATATATTGTGTGCTCTGTATCTCGACCAAAGGAGTTTACCACCCATAAAGCAGAATTACACTGGGCGATGGGGTAAAATAGGTGTGTCTCATCTTCCGGGTTGGGGTCCAATAGACTCCGTAGAGATACTGAAAGTCATGGCAGCAAGCCAATTGCAGTGGCGATCTTGCTCTCACTTCTTATCAGTCTAGAATGCTTGAAATTGTGTGTGGGCACAGTTGGAGTGTATAGTCTGTGTGTTAACCATATAGGTTCGCTTTTTTCACAGTTCTTCAAAATGGACCCAATCCCTATCCCCCTTAAGCATTCTCACTTACCTTGTATGCATTATGAGTTTGACAGCGATCAATGAAGCTCGGTTCATTGTGTTACGCTATACGATGATGATGCACCCGTAAAAAATGATATGCTCCAAAAACGTTCGGATAAAGTACCGGATCATCGATCACTTCTAAGAGATCATTTGTTCCGTCGAGCTGACTTTTTCACAATACTATAACTTGGCATTCCTTTCTTTGTTATTTAATGCTTCGTCTTCCACGTGAGTTGGCATATGCGGTAACAGTATGCTCATAGTCATTGAATCTGAGTATTTCAAAGTAATTGATATGTATTTACTCATCGAACCTATCCCTTGGGATATTCTGGCTGACGAAGCTAACCGCGAATTTCCGGTTACATTCTTGTTTTTATTACTCATTCCGATGTGGCTATTTTTCTAATGTAGCTCATTGTTCCTCTATGCTCTTCAGGCTCCCACACCTTTGAGGCGTCGTGGGCCGCCCACATTCCGACCCTTGGATTTATTTGAGGCACACACACACGGGATTGTGCCTCCAGATTGGCCTTGTTCCGGTCGAGTAGAATTTAAAAATATCTCATTGACCTATCGGCGAGTCATCCCGTCCGCAGATCAGTTCAAAATTCAAGCCTTGAATGACGTTACCTTCACGGTAGAACCGGGTGATCGTCTCGGTATTGTCGGTCGCACTGGATCGGGCAAGAGCAGTTTGCTTCGTGTATTATTACGTCTGGTTGATCACCTACCGGGACCGCATACCAATGCGCAGATTGCTCAGCAGCTTGGATTCTTAGGGGCCAGTGGGCAGGTTGGCATCTCACTCGTATCTTGCATCACTTATTTTCTATTGTCGTTGTTACTGAATGTGCTTGAATAGGTGTGCATCACTGTTGTGAATCGTACCGTCCTTTGTGTGTCTGATATTTAACTCCGATTCGCACTTTTTCGGTTCGTATGACACATTTGCGATCCACTTTTTGTGTCATCTGAGGTCACTCTTGCGCTCTTTTATCCAACCGCACCTCCAGCAGCCGTTGTTTCGTGTAGAACTTTTATCAAGTCAGTTCAACATATAGGATTCCATGATATTTACGGGATCACGTTGGACACAATATTAATGCCTCTTGATTTGCCCGTTTCCTTTCGAAAGTAAGTGACCGAAATGAATAGCATTTACACTGCAAACTTAAATAAATAATTTAAAACAATGATTCATACATTTTGATGTAAACTAACCATCCTTCAGCGATAATCTTCATGCGCTATATAAAATGGAAGCAATAGACTCGAGTTTCGCACCCCTTAGAGCTTATCAGTATTGCACATACACCGTCCTGTCTGAGCTTTGAACTCCGGACCCATCTCATAGTCACGTTTGTCACCACTGTACCGATCAGCTCACACTGGGGTTGCCGAGAATCGCCGATTCATGTTTGCTCAAGTTTTGTCTTTAGCAATCATAAGTCAGTTACTTGGACCCGACAACAACGTAAGGTGGCACAGTTCATTGTATGTTCACTTCATTCGAGTACTTCTCGCTAAGTCATTACTACAATGCCGGTTCGAGTTGCTGCATATCTACTGGGCTAAAAATTCATATGTCACTCACTATTACTCGCGAGTAGTGGAGTACAGGGCGCGATATTCACTGGGGTTGACTGTCCTTTAGACTCCATCTTCACACATAACCCTCCGTTCTCATAAGTGGTTGTGCGCTGAATGCGAATATAATTGTAAAACAAACGTAGAAGGGGGAGAGGGTAGCAGAAACGGAAAGGATTGTTTCAGTAAAAAACCGTGTGTATCAAAGACAACCAGAAACACTGAACTGTGAATTCCTATTTGATAAAAATGAGTTGCTGTTAGAAGTTGATTGTTTATTCCAAATGCAATGGGTACCATTCGCAAGGTATGTTGGTGCGGACAACTTGTGTGAAATTTAATCATATTTATGCTATTTTATGCACGAGTGAACAAACTTAACTCAAGAATTTCCCGAAGTAAATTAAAATTACGAATATAAATAGTGAGATTGAGCACGATATCACTCTGGAGGTATTTCCCTGTTTACTGCAGAAAACGAACCGGTCTATCTATTACCAGTGATGGTAGTCGAACCCACACCAATTCATTACTTCACTTATTTACTTACCATGACAATGCCAGACAGAAGTAGACCTTCTACTGACACAGTAGAGCCTCATTGCCGTGACTTGAGCAACTGCTAAATCAACAGTTGCACAAGTCATCTACTTCTTCAAGCACCTACCATTTGCTGCAGAATGGCCACGAAGCCGATCAAGGGGCGTTAGTTCCGGGTTTTTTACACAACTCCGAATTGACGACTGTTGAGATTTTTCACCGGGGTCATAGCAGTGATGTACCCAAATCCCAGCTGCGTCAACAGAAGCAGGTTTACATCAGACTGACATTACCGTGGTAATCAGGTAAGTAGAAGAATGAATAAGCTTTGTATCGGATTTTCATGACCTGTGCTATAAAATCTATTTCGAACTAGTTTAGTCTATCCTGCTGACATTCACCCCGAAAGGTAAATACTGCGTCACACCTAACCAGAGGGTTTTAACCCCACTTGCTTTTTCATTCGTGAACATTATCAATGGCACTTTTCCGATTATACTAGACCAGCCCTCCTGTTTTCACATGAGGACACAGAGCAGTTTACCGTAGTAGCAAGTGTAATTCGGACTAATGAAATAAGGAGTATATGTCACTCTCACGATGAGAACGTGTATCTTGAATCTGAACTCGACTTCAGTCAACTAATACGGCTGTCTCTTCAGTTAGCGAAGTAAAGCTGCTCTTCCCGAATTTCAAAACAACAACACTGGGTCATTCAGCCTTTGTGAAGTCCCTTTTCTTTCATCCAGGTGCACATTTTTTATCCAAAATTGACCTGTTCATTTGTTTTCAACAACTGGGAATTTGAGCATTTGAATATGGCCGAACTTTCTCTTCACTTCAATTGTTTTTTTCAAATGAGTTTGCAATTGTTTTCGTAAATGAAGAAACTCACCTTTTATGAGAGAGCAGTAGAGTTGTAAAATCCAACCTACAGAGCGATACCCCGGTCGCTCGGACACAATGATCACCCCCTTCACTCCTTTACTCCTTTCCCGAACGTGTCACGCGCTCCTCGATGGTCAGCCTATTTCATAACTGAAGAACGTGGGGAAATTGATAATTAATTTGAATCTGCTTCTTTCTTTACCAAAATCCACGCAGATATTAACGGGCATCAAATATTGTTTCAGAGAAATTCTGTTGTACTTAGGTCAGAATCAAAATCAGTCGGTTCGTCGGTCTTCACAGACGCAATTGAAACGTCGAGCAACAGCTTTCTAATGGAAACTACTTTATCCTTTTTTCCAGTTTTTTTATATTCGTGCAATTATGCCAACTGAGTTCTACGCATAATTTTTTTCTTTGTGTACAGGTACTCGTTAACGGTGTCGATATTCGAACCATCTCCTTAGTTGCACTGCGGACGTATATTTTGGCTGTTTCTCAAGAGCCCTTTCTATTCTCTGGCTGTCTTCGAGATAACCTCGATCCAGAAGGGTATGTTACTACACTTGCATGAATCGTTAGTTCTATACTTTTGCTTAGCGGTTAACCTGTTTGTGCATGGCACGATGGTTCGAAAACAAGTTACTGTGTTCTTAACAAGGCCATGAATCCTTGTCATTCAAACGAAAAGGTAGCTTAACATACACCAGTCGAAAAACTTTACTTAGTGGTGCATAGCACCTGATATATTGAGTCATACCTTTGTTTTATGTCATCTATTCAGTACTACCATAACGAACATATTACTATTCCATTTTATATAAAGAATTAACCGTTGAACTTGATTGCGGTGGATCGCATCTTTCTCATTACTTTTGGAGGTTCTGTGAGATATAGTAAGTTTAAACATTTAGGTGTTCGAGGTGATTAGTCGTCGTTCCTCTTCAGGGTTGAATGATGTCTCGAGTGTCTTCTTGTCAACCACATTGTTACGTACTAAAATGCCAAGCGCCATGAATCTCACATTAACTAACACTTAAATCCTTCGTGGTTATACTCCGTAAAGAACGAAATGAAAATGCGTGAAACACATCTACGCAGCACAATTTGCGAAGATTTAATTCCCCTTTCAGTCTACACCCCTAAATTGCAGCTACACACAACACGCTAAGCAATGCGCTCTGGTGTTCCTCGGAGGAATCCCAATTTTCGATCAAAACAGCTCCTTGCACCATAAGCATTGGGTCGAAAGCTCCAATAATAGCCTCACCTCGAAAGTAAGAGATCATAACTAGGTTTTCAAAAGGTCAAGCATATCTGTCTCTGAAACGATTGAGCTCATACAACTTTCACTGTGTCAGGTAACCAACTGGGCATCTGTCTTACGCTAGACCTGTTCCCTTCGTTAATGTTAAGGTCGTCGTATTGATAATATGGTGAATCACTTGAACCTCAAATTCCAGCGTACCGGGGAATTTCGGGATTACTCTGTCTAACGTTACAACTATTATGAGGGGTTTCGCTATCAAGTACAGTTCTGGTTCAATGGAGTATTAGATTTCCATTCGTAGAATAATATCATCTTACCTTGCTTCAATCGATTCACCTTTTCTATAGCAGGTTATTTGTTGTTGGTCTGTTTTTTAGGTTCCTAGTTTACTTCCCTGATTCTTCTTAAACAAATTAATTTTGATTCTATCGCCTACAGACGCGTCTCTTTCTGCATTTATAACCAGCTCAGTTCAACTGTTTTCAAACTTGAACGTTCATCTTTTCAGGACGCTCCCAGATGAAGAATTATGTGACGTTCTGGTTAAATGTCAGTTGGCTGCCAGTCCGTTGGAGGCGGTATCAATGCTCACCTTAGAAGTGGGAGAAGCCGGTCGAGACATTTCTGCCGGTCAGCGTCAACTGGTTTGTTTGGCTCGCGCTCTACTTCGTCAACCGCGCCCTGGGATTATCTGTCTGGATGAGGCCACTGCAGCGATCGACACTAAGGCTGAGGAAGCTATACATGTGAGTTTTATCCGTAGTTCCTACGCAAACCACCTGGAAGCTAGGAATAATTCGGTTGATTACGTTGTGCGATTCGGTCGCAGATTTTGCTAAACAGAACTTGGATTTGACAGGATCGTGTTTAATTTGAGTATGATCTCTGTATCCTTGACTTGACTAGGCACACGACCGACACAAGCACCTCTTTCCTAGCCCTAACAGTAATACGGGAGAGAGAACAGCAGAGTGTATTCCGTGATCATGGTGCGATAGGCAAATGTAAGTGGTTAGGCTTGGCTTACTGAAACGACGTGGCGAGGCACCAATCAGATCGCGCCCTTGACACTCCGATTGGACGACTGCTGTCTGATTCGTCTGTCATCCAATTCGGAATCGACTCGCCTTGGACGTCGCGAGTGCGCTTATGGTGTGACGCGAATCCGTGCGCGGCTTGAAGAGGTCTTTGAGCTGCGTCTTAACAGGCTGTTTATCCAAATGGTACTGTATTCCATAGAATGTGGGACAAAAGTTGTGGTGAATGTTCTACTATCAGAAGATCTCTGGTGATACGGATGAAATGTTTATGCGTGCTCCTAACATGGATAAGTCGTTCTTATTTTGATTCACTATTGCGCTGATTTATTGTCTTCTCATATCTTGTTAATTCATCTTTCTTCTAAAGAGGCCTACTGCTCGGTTACGGAAACTAATGAGCTAAGACCCCATTAGAAATGATGTGATATTGGACCAAACAACAGCGGAATTGTTGAGTGATGGTGCCACTATTCGAACCGTAGTTCGCAACAAATTATTGACAGTGACTTTAACGTCTTGAGAATACTTCTGCTCTCTTAGGAGAAATTGGCAATCATAAGTAAAAACCGAAAGGCGTTACCACTATCACCGTATAAGGTTTGTCGCCTGAGCATTGTAAACCAGTAATCAAATAAAACGTTTAAAGAATTTCACATGGTTGTCATCAGATAGACATATTTACCATAAATTTGCTGGTTTCATGAACTTGATGCAACTGTCGTTTCTTTGTTGATAATAATCTGTTTCTGAGAGATGTTTCTCTTGATCTTCTTTGAATTCGGTATCTCTTTTTGCACCGATAATTCTCTCTTCTCAGAGGAGTAAACTCATTTCGTCTCAGAAAACGCTGTTATGGATGATACCTTTTTGCTATACACTTCTGTTCAATGAATACCAGAAAGCTTAAGCCCCAAAGTCACGATGACCTATTGTTCACCCACGCCCCAGGACGTGAAGCGGCAAACCACATAAGGCTCCACTAGGATATGCGTAGCAGCGAATTGAACGACATCGAATTTGCCCACCCTGAACCAAATTAAACGCTGAAGCTTTACATTCATTGTGCATTGCCTTTGTTTAGCATCTTGTTTTGTTGTATCAACTGTTCACGCGGATAGATGTCTTTTATTACACCGGTTATCTATATCTCACTCTTACTCAATTATCTTTTTTCTCTTTCCCCCGCTCGAATTCCAAACAGGAAATTTTGCACCGAGAATTCGCCGATACTACGGTTCTGTTAATTGCGCATCGGTTATCTTCTGTGCGGAGACTGTGTTCTCGGGTCCTTGTCATGCAATCTGGTCGGGTGGTGGCAGACGGCGCACCCGATAAAATTCTCCAGGATGACAAGATACAGCTGACTGATGAACAGGAATCTCGTGATCTGATTGATTTGTGATTAATATTTTCCCATTCGTTTTCCTTTGCGGGTTTCGGTTACCTACTCCACCCTCTCCTCCCAACATAAACAATCCCATCGGGCATTTTTTGCCGGCCTGGGATTTTCCGAATGCCTTATTGATGCAGTTAACCCCGTTGCCCATGTTAGCTGATTCATTTGATTGTTATTTCTATTTTTTGAGAACGGACTTCTTTCCTCTCATTATTTGTAAATATCGAACGACTAGTGGGAGAGGATCTTCCGTGTAGTTAAAGCAACCAAGTTCATAAGTGGAGTGAATTTTCAGCAGTTCATGGAGTTATGCGTTTGAATGTTGAAAAGATAAAAGTGATCCATATGCTAGAACAATAACCGTTGAATTGTTCTACTCGGATATATTGCAAAAAGGGTGGGTTATGCCAGCAAATACACATCGATTTGATTGTTGACCCTATTCTAACGTACCACGAATTCAGTTCATTCGTTTTGGGAATACTGCTGATGGTTTTGCATTCGGTGTGCATGTCCCACAAATGCTGTCTAATTCTAAAAAATACGTTGTTACGATCTTTCGCATCATCACCGTCGTACAGCGAAGAGAACTTTACTGATCGCTGCCAAGCTCAGAATGTACACGAAGTAAGTCAGAAAGCATAAGTTTTCAGTTTGAGCAACCATTAACCATGCACTTTCGTGCGCCGGTTTTGGCTGCCCATTTGGATGAACAATAGGAGAAGAAAGGAACGTTGAAAGTGGAGTCGAACAGAAAATGGAGAAGTTCAGTGGACTGAGGTTGGGAAGAAATTGAGGAGATGCACGAACGCCACTGTTTACGACACCCAGCCATATCGCTCAGTGTCTCTAACCATCGGTTACGATCATCCCGAGGTTCCCAGCCAGGGAGCCTAACAGGACCTATGTGACCCAGTTTTTTGGTTAGGGTTTTCATACCCTCTT